GCGCAGTAATGTATCAGACAGTGTTTCTCTGCTATTCATAAGGTTTTTCCTGGCCAATTCTTTGAGAAGTGGATGGCCTCCTCCTTCTTCCTAGTCTGTCTCAGTCTGCAAGGCGAGCTGGTACCTGTGCACCATGTGCACCTCGCTGGGTTTGAAACACCAGTGGTACAGCCTCAAGACTCACAGCAACATGTCACAACAGTAGCACAAACGGACAGACAAGTCTGTCTCCCTTAGCTATTGGAAACCTCTCCAACCACCGTTGCCTGGATCCCTGCGACTGACTCCTTGATCTGTTCTGGGCCCCTTTGCCTTTTCTGTCCTCTCTCTGCTTTCCCACCTCACTGCTAGGGAGGCGTGGCCTGGGTTCCCTCTCCTCACCTGGGTCCCTCCAGCTGACTCCTTGATCTGTTCCCATCCTTGCACCTGTTCTTAGGTCCCTGGAATCTGAATTAGAATGCTGTCACTTAGGAGAAGCTCCTAGACCCTGGGGAAGATTGATGGCAAGATACACGTGTATACCTCCAAGGAACACTGGGCCTACAAATGCTGAAAGGAGATAAGAACCTTTTTTTGTAAACTGTGAGCCAACACAGAGAGAAAGCCTTTCCTTACAGCTAGCACCCTGAATACAGACTTCTGGCCACCTAAACTATGAGAGAATAAAGTTCTGTTTGCCATCCACTTATTCTATCTCTGTTATAGTAGCACTAGATAACTAAGTGGTGGTGGGTTGTAAAATGGTGCGATTAAGTATTACGGAATTATAAAATGGTAAAACCACTATGCTAAATAGTATAACACTACCTTAACAAGTTAAAAATAGAGACAGCATATGATCCAGTAATTCTAGTACTAGGTATATATTCTAAAGAAATAAGAGCCATGACATGAATATATATATATATATATATATATATATATATATACACCTATGGTCCTTGCAGCATTATTCACGATAGCAAAAAGATGGAAACAGCCTAATGCCTAATAGCAGATGAATGGATAAACAAAGGCATTTTCATAACTTTGGAATATTATACTACATTAAATAATAATGATGAATCTGCAAAACATTTCATAATATGGATGAACCTGGAGGACATTATGCTGAGTGAAATAAGTCATGAAAGGAGACAAATATTGTATGAGACCACTATTATAAAAAGTCAAGAAATGGTTTACACACAGAAAGAAACATTCTTTGTTGGTTACCAGGGATGGGAGGGTGGGAGAAGGAAAATCACTAACTAGAGAATAGCCATGTACTAACTAGATAATAGCCATGTATTAACTTCAGCGAAGGGAAAGGCAATGTAGAATAAGGGGGAGGTCAGCACAACTTGACTAAGGCAAAGAAAAGCCACTGGAATAAAAAGCAACAATGGTAAATATTATTACATATACAATCCTAGAATGACAGTAATAACAAACAATAATTTATTAATAGATACATATGTAGATAGGCAAGCAAGATGTAGGATGATGTATGGGAGTCCCATCAGTATTTATAGCTTTGGCAGAGGATATTTCTACATACACACACACACATACACACACACACACGTAAATATATCCATGGGGCAAAGTTACAACAACTTCTTAGCCATAACCTAACACCTTGAGGGACTGAGACACTGGGCTTGGAGGCTTAGAACCATAGTCTTAGAGGACATATGGGTCAGTTGGTGTAACATAGTCCACAAAGGCAATGTTCTACACCCTACTGGGTGAGTACTGGGATCTTAAAAGCTTGTGAGCAGCAATCTAAGATGCAGCTATAGGTCACTCCTCCACCTGGAGCAAAGAAGAATGAAGAAAATAAAAGGCTCAAGGGAACAATTAGTCCAAAGGACCAACGGACCATACGAACCACAGCCTCCACTAGTCTCACGCCAAAAGAACTAGATGGTGCCCAGCTGTCACTAGCAACCACCCTGACCTGATTGAGATCAAAACAGAAAGTCCTAGACAAAGTGGGAAAAAAATGTAGAACAAAATTCAGAATCATAAAACAGACCAGACTCACCGTTCAGTAGAACCCCTGAGGCTGTGGCCTTTAGACACCCTTCAAGACTGGAACTGAACCTACCTTTTGGAGAGATTATCTTTTAGCTAAACAGTAAATAGGCCTATAAAGTGAACAGTAACACCTGTGAGGAACATACTCCTCAGAAAAATCATACAAGACCAAAAAGTGTCATTTGCCCCAAACAAAGCTCCGAAGACAGGAAAGAAGGGTGAATAGAAACCCAGAGAGGAAGCAAGAAGAGTGCTGTTACATCAAAGGGATTGTATCTAATTTCACAAAACCAGATGTGTATAAATTGTTGAATAGCAAACTAATAGGTTCTGTAAACTTTTCACCCAAACCATAATAAGATGTTTCAATTTTTGGGGGGAGGTAATGGATTTCTGTAGAAGGAGTAAATGAAAACTAGGCAAACAGTAGACTGGGAATGGGAAGAATTTACTGAATACCTATTTAATACTTGTTGATTTTCAACCATGTAAACATATTACCTATTAATAATTAAACTCAAGATGGAACAAAAATTTTGAAGAGTTTATGGAGATAGAAAAATGTCTACAATAATAAAATCACAAACCAAACCCACTGCCATCAAGTCAGTTGTGACTCATAGAGACCCCCATTGGGTTTCCAATGTGGTAAATCTTTATGGAAGTAGATTGCCTATCTTTTTTCCACAAAACACCTGGTGGATTTGAACCACCAACCGCCTGGTTAGCAGTCATTTGCCTCAGACGCTGTGCCACCAGAGCTCGTTGTCTGCAATAAAAGCAAGATTTAATTAAGTAAATATATGTGTACCGATTATTACAACTCTAAAAGTGTGCAAGTATATGAGAAGTATAAAGACGACAGAAAAATTAGAATTTGATGCTAGGCTAGTGACTTTTTTTATATTCTAGTTTTCATAATAATGTTTGTTAAATTAATTGAAAGTCAGTTAAGCCAGTGAAAATAAAGTATTTGGTGGGAATTAAAATTAAAGACATCTTCTTCCACCTCAGCAGAATTGACTACGGCAGAGGAAGCCACCCTGGCATTCAAGCCCTGGACCCTGAACCCACAAACGTCTTCGCTGACCTCAGAAGAATTTAAACACGTAGGGCTCACGAAGGCTGTCTTGTCAGCCCACACACAAAAGGAAGAGCAGAATTATGTTGATAAATTCCGTGAAAAGATCCTGTCCTCACCCTACAGCTCCTATCTTCAGCAAGAAGGCAGAAGCAAAGCAAAATATTCATATGTTCAAGGTAGTTACATTTTTTTAAATGATTTATCTGTGTAGCTGTTGATTTATAAAATTGATAAGTAGTGAAGAGTGAGAGTTCTGCTTGTAAGCAACTGTTGAGAAATGCTGAAATAAGTGTACTTTATGTTGTTGTTTATTGTTACATGCCGTCGAGTCGGACCCAACTCATAGCGACCCCTCCTTGGGTTTCCGAGGCAGTATCACTATGGAAGTAGATTGCCCCATCTTCCTTCCAAGGAGTGGCTGGTGGGTTTGAACCACCAGCCTTCTGGTTAGCAGTCGAGTGCCTTAGACACTATGCTCCAGAGCTCCCAAGTGTACTTTATAGTAACAGTTTTATCCAGGATCTTGGCCATTGTTTTAGAGCTACTTTTTGCCATCCCTGTAGCAGACGTAGTTACTCTTGGTAAATGTTTATCCTTTTGTGATCTGTTTATAACTAGTTATGATTGCACTGACTCCTGTTCCTGGCAACCCTGTGTGTGTGAGAACAGAACTGTGCTCCCTAGGATTTTCAGTGGTTGATTTTTTAGAAGTGGATCACCAGGCCTTTCTTCCAAGGTACCTCCGAGTAGACTCCAACCACCAGTCTTTCATTTAGTAGCTGAGGGTGTTAACTGCACCACTTAGAGTGACTATTTATAGTCACTTGTACATGGCATTCTTCTCTTTTTGGTGTTTAATTTTCCATAATATGCCTACATCTTTATCCTTTCAGGAGATTCTACTTCCAAGCTGACCAAAGCAGCTGAGTGCAAGAAAGGGAAGCACAAACGGAAGAAGCTGCTAGTACCTTCAGACAATACCTGCTCTGTTGACCACACCTGCCCTCCCTTCAGAGAAGAGGTGCCGGATGCACAGCCCTGGTGCCCTCCTGGGGCCTTCCCACCACATGCTCCTGGCCTACCATTCCCGTCCACAGTGGTGATTCCCAGCCAGGCCCCTTACCTCGTGCCAGCGTGTCCCTTCCCAGCCATGGCCTCTCTGGGGGGATCATGTGCAGCCTCAGTAACTGCACTGCCGTGCCTGCCCAGGCCTCCTCCACCCAGCAGCCTGACTATCCCAGCATTCCCTGCTCCTTACTTGGACACTTTCATGACCGTTTATCTGCAGGATCCCCTTGCCTGTCCCGTGTCGTCATTCTCTCCTTATTCATTCCTGGGAGCAGCAGGCTCTCCTGAAACAACACCCTCCGTATCACCAGTAGCTCCAGGCCTGGACGCATCATCAGTCACTAGCCAAAGGAGGGTGGAGGAAAGATGGGCGATGACGCCCAGTGAAGAGCACCCATTTATTACTTCCCGGAGCAGTTCCCCACTGCAGTTAGACTTACTTCAGGAGGAAATGCCTGCCCCTTCTGAATCGCCAGAGCAAATGAACAGGGATGTTTTCCCAGAAGCTGAGTGCGTAAGTGATGCTGACTTTTAACATGAGTGAGAAAATCGTTAGTAAAGGCTTGGCCCTTGGCACAGAACTCTGTGCCTTAGTGGGTGTTCTGCACTGTGACTGTTTGACTGGGGCTGTGAGCTTTGTTTTAGATGAACATGGGAATTGACTGCCTGACTGCATTTTAAAGGCAGGAATGAAAGACTGTTATGTCCTGATTTCTTAGATACTATCTTAGTTTCCCTGTATAATTGTAATGGAAATACCATAAATGGCTTAAAGGAACAGAAACTTATTTTCTCACAGTTTAGGAGGCTGCAAGTCCAAATTCAGGGCACCACCTGTAGCGAAAGGCTCGCTCTCTGTCGACCCTGGGGGAACATCCTTGTCTCTCTCAGCTTTGTAGCCCATGCTTCCTTGATTTCTTGGTCCTCTTGTGCATCTGTCTTCCCTCATTTGTGCTCTCTGTGTCTGATCTGCTCTGTTTAGTAGCTATTGTAAATGGTATTGATTTCCTTATTTCCTTTTCAGCAATCTCTTTGCTGGTGTAGAGGAATCCAACTGATTTTTGGATGTTGATCTTATATCCTGCCA